GTCCAATTGGGGATAAAGCCATCCTTTGCAGGGTAGGAGATCAGGCAAATCCAATCCCTTAATATCTAGTAAAAGTTTTCCTTGAGGGAAAAAATAATATTTTGAATCTGGCTCATTTTCTCATACATTAACCATACCAAGCCTTCCAGTTTGGAGACACCCTACATTTAAATATGGAGATATTCCTAAATTACCAGCTAAGTCAAAGTTCTTGAATAATGCACTCGTTTCTTGCTACAGCTGCCACTGCCAGGCAATGAAATGATTCAAAACCAGTTTCCCCACTGTCTCCCAACATCAACATTTCCTTTGTGCCACTCTAGCAAGAGCTAGGTTTTAAAATATACAAATATGTATACAAAAAGATTCATTCTATTATGCATAAAGAGCTGTTCTAGAAAACAGCAGTTAGAAATGAAAGATTCACATCCAGCTAACTGAAGATTACTTAGTCCTACAAATTATTGTAACTTGGACATTTTAGTAATACATACTGGGGGGAAAGCTAGGAAGGACAAATTTGAAATCATTTTAATATTTTTTTAAAAAAATGCCACGAGGTTCCAGAAATGAAGATCATCTGGCAAAGAAGTGTTCTTATTCACATTTGCCCTTCCAGCCAGCCAACAGTTACGAGATCACTTGGAAAGCATTTGTCAAGGAAATTAATGTTTAAAATAGTTTAAAAAATACTCTTGCATTTTCTTTGAATATCAAAATTCTGCAGACATCATTTTTAAAAATATATATGGAATGGATGTGGGAATGTGGGATGGATTGGGAAACACTAGTAAGACCATATTTCTTCTCAGCAGTGTAGGCCAAAACTGTCATTTTGGCATTATTTATTTATATAATCAGTCAACAAGTCTGCGACTCAGAATTATTTTAACCCTTGAAATCTGCAAAACACATCACCAGGCAGGTTGAGAAAAACTTCATTTGAAGAACCTAGAAAAGTCTGTGGACTGTCTGCATCAGTTAACAATGGGGGAAATCCATGATGCCTGGAATTGATGGGGATTGCAAACCAATGCATCTGGGTAACATCACAGTCACAAATGCTGGACTAGATGGCTCATTCAGTTAAACAAACTTAAGGCAGGGTTTCTAGATTTATTCCCTGAAAAGATACTAAACCAGAGGATTAGAACTGCTGTCTGACCAAAACTTTACAGAGCCATTGTTTATAGGTGGGTAAGTAAAACATTCCCTAACTGGGTGATGTTTCCAGTTCAACTTTCTAAAAAGAAAGCAATCAACATTTTGTTGATAGAAATTTGCAGGGATCCAGATGGCCTTTTCAGCCATCTAGAAACCTTACACTAAATCCTCTTCAGTTTTTCTTTAATCTTCCTTATTTCATATAATCTTTTTTAAAAAAGACAAAATTGTCATTGTGGCAAAATTCTTGGGAGGATAGGAAAGGCCAATGCTCAACTGAGACACAGCAGGAGGAAATTATCTGGGGAGCATGGATAATCAATAGACAGACAAGTAGATAAAGTTTCATTCTGAGATAAACATGATCTGGTCCACGAGGCAACAATTCCTAGTGATCAGAGCTTCAACTGTTTAACCAAAAAGCAAACTGCTTCAATTTATAGATACATTCTAAAATTCAAGGAAGGAAGTACAAGGGAGGGGAAGACCAGAGGAAATCCTCAGATTAAAATGCTGAAGTCCACAGGAAAATGTGTGCCAACATGTTCATATCCATAGAGATGAAAAATGTGCTTCCCTTGGCAAAAAAAAGTCAGTTCAGTTCACATTTTTTCATACACTTGTTTACATTAGGAAAATATTTCACTTTAGAGTAAGATTTTAAACACTGAAATGGATATTATACACTGCCAAAATAGCTCAATGTGCTGGTTAACCTAAAATGTTGCTCAATAATTTCTTGCATGTGTAGCGACCCAATACAAATATTCACTGCATGATTCATATTATAATTGTGGCTGTAGTTCAGATCACCTACAGGTGTTATCAAGACTAAAAGGCTAGATAGTTTAAAACATCCAGCAAGGCACAGTTACTCTCAAGGAAACATGGAGTCATTTGCAAACGAGGGTGCAGATCAACTTGCAGATCAAGCTTCCCCACAAACCAGATGAGGCTGTGTCCTACCCTTACCATTACATCAGTCCATAGTTTTCCTAAGTGGTAATGTCAAACCTTCCTTCAAAAAAGAATTTCCCATTTCAAGCAGTGATGGTCCCAGCCGAATGATTACTGTTTTACTCTGCTGTTCTAATGGTGTAGTCTGAGCTGCCATTTGGGAGAGGGTGCATTTGAGTCACTCTATCTCCCATTTTCCCAGTGTGGCAGCAAAAAAACATTACTACAAGGTAGGGCCTAAACACAAACAAACATAAAAAACTTGATAGCTGCTTACTGTAAATAAAAAATGTTGATAACGTAACTTTTTATTGTAGTTACAGAGATGGGGTGGGGAAGGTGAAATAAAGGAGAAAGGAAAAATCATTTTTCATTGGCCAACAAAGAAATATTAATGGGTGAGACACCACTGATCTCATCTATTGGCTAGGTCAGGAAAGATAAATGCTGCTGGGCTATTGGCCTTCAAGTCAACACAGTTGATTTACTTGCAAACATGTCCTTTCCCTTAGTCCAGTATTTTTCAACCTCAGTAATTTTAGGATAGGTGTTAGGGATAACATTGTTTACCCTAACTGGTTTGGGTAAAAATAATAAATATGGTATCATGGTTTGTTAGTTAAAGTGTGTGTAACTTTAACTGCAAGAATGTAATTGAGGGTGTGGTTGTAAAAGCAATATATAAGCGAGGCAAATGCAGCTGCAGCTCTCTCTCTCTAGCTTACTGATCCCTAATTACTGGATGGATTGATGACTGCGTTCTTGTAGGAGTGTTGATTTTTCTCAAGGGAGAGAAGATAAGATTGGACAGATTTATTGTAAATGAACTGACATTGGCTATTCAACACGGACTTTGCAAATAGAGTATCCCAGACAAGACTTGACTGAAATTGATATATGACTAATGGACCGTTTATTTGACTAAGCTATAATTCTTAAATGGAATAAACTATATTTTTGATAGCACAAGCGTATCTGTACTTTTACTGCGTGTTAACTAGAAAACTTATCTCACACATTTACCTGTCTTCCTATCTGACTTAGCTGCACATTCTGTTTAGTTTGTTTTCCTTAACACCCGTTGGGGAATCCAGGCTTAACAATAGGTACCAGAAATTCCACAGTCAGTTGAATTCCACACATCTTAAAGTCACCCAGGATGAAAAACACTGATTTAGTCTTTCTGCATACCTACTGAATATAACAATGAGTTGCTCCATGCTTTGTTTTAATTGTGGAATCAGACATTTTGGGTAATGGAAAGTCTGGTCATTGGGAAATATTCTTGGGCTCGACTGATAATACTGGAGTTTAGAAGAATTTGCATATAGTTTATATGAATTTCCAGAAGAACAGAGCCAATATTATTGTCAATTAAGCACCAAACACCCCCAATAAATCAGTCATCATTCCTGGGCTCTTCCTATGTGCTGGATTCTAAATTCCATAATTCCCAGAGAACACATCTGCAGCATA